ATCACTGAAGTTCCTCGGAAAGAATTTATACGGGAAATTAACAAACGAGCAGATACGTACGTAACAATATTATGGGAGCAGAATTACATAGGTGATAAATAGTTCGGGACTTTCCTGTTTCTAATATCTGTCTTCAGTTCTAAATGCAGTTTATTTAATGAACTACTATCTTAAGCAAACTGCTAACACACATATTTTAATATATCTATATTTTTCAATCCTTGGTTATATTAAAAGGGTTTTGAGAAATCCCGTTTGTAACTTTATAAATTTTTTTCTTTATAAATTGCACTCCTAGTATTTTTTACCATTTCTTAATTTCAATAAATGCAAAGTACGGCAGAAATTTAACATTAGTGTGATTTAACTCGAATGTAACAGAAATTATTAAGTGGATTTGGTTATTGGCTGACCCCAGAGCTGAAATCTGATAGCATCGTGACACGTCTAGCTCAGCAGCTCAAAGAACACAAATTTACTTCTTAACACTCGCTACAGAGATGAGACTTCGAGTCAATCAATGAAATATATTTTTCCTTAAATGGAATTGCTTTCTACTTCAAAACCTTGCAAGTTTAATACACTGATTTCATAAATTGACGGTTTCTAATCACAATTATACTTAGAATTTATGCATATGTTACCTTCCCAAAAAACTTAATCTTCGCCCCTCGCATTTTTTGGTCGAAAATCTAATATATTTCTTGTTGTTGTTGTTATTCAATAATAATCAACCATTATGTAAAAGTTTATTCATTAGCTTTTCATATTTCTGTTTACATAAAATGTTATATCGAAAGTTACGGTCACAGTAACTTCACATCAACACCGATGGCTGGTACGCTGCCAAAACCATTAACATCTACCTAAATGTGCCACATTCCATCACAAGGCCGTACGCAAGAATGTTTGAAAGGGGGTTCCTAACTTGTGAGATCAAAAGCCAGCATACATTGTGGGAAGCACAATCAGCATGCAAAAGCTACGGGGTTCGGGGGCATGCTTCTCAGAAAATTGTTTAAATGTATATGCTATGAGATTAAACCTGAGTGCAATTTTGCATGAAATATAGTTTAGATAATTCTATGGCTGTTCACATAAAACTCACGAACTCGAGTACTGGACGATAGATCTCGTCCTCCATCAGCGACAGACTTACGTGTTCCGACGTAACCTAAGAAAGTCGTCGTACGTTTGGTATAGATTGAATATAAGTTTTCTGTACGAGGGGAAACTACGATTATCTCGGTGTTTGTCTGAAATTTTTCTCTCGTACGAGACTTCGAGACTGTCGTCAATATATTAAACATTGTACACCAACTTCCCGTCAAAAGAATGGTTTTTATCGACGATCACAAAACTGCTCTAACAGTGTATAACATTCTCTCATCACTGAACTTAGGTAATTGTAGCTTAAGGGGAACCGTGTGATAATGTGTTATGACTTTAACTTATTCCTGTTACTACAGTAACGTTTATTATATTTTCGAAAATCGTATATCAACAGAAGTATAACAATGATTGTACACTAACTTGTATGAAAGTTAATTTTATAACCCATACATATTTCAGTTTGTGTTATTATGCCGTCAGATTGTCAGATGAATGTGTACCTCAGATAGAATTGAAGAACAGATGGACGATACTGGTATTTCTTTACTTGTCTAAATGACTACACCTTCAAGGTGTTCGACAATATATATATATATATATATCTTTGTGTGTTATATTTGTAAAAATATTTTTAGACGACAAATATGTGAGTTCTAGATCAAAAACAGAAATTGGTAACTTACAAGTATAAAATTATTTCCTACTGTACCATCAAATATTAAGAATTTCGTGAATGTATATATATATATTTAGCTTTCTGTATTGTTATGTAAAGTTCAATGACATACGTTCTTCTTTGTCAGAGTTAATGTATAGTGGGCGTACAGTTTGTTTTGATTGCAAAGTTTAATCTTGAATGGTAGATAGTAAACCCAATGTTTCAATATGTCTTTACTTACATATATTGAAGATAATACGTTAGTTTTAAGTTGTAGGAGAGTGTTATGTGAAGTTTAAGGTCTAATGTTCAGCACGACGGGGGGTCTGTCAATTTAGTTATGGATTTCAAGTGCAGGCTATGTTTTGTATAGTTTCTAAAATTTAGAAACTTTGATTACTTTGGAGAATACCCATTATGTTTCATTTATGGCAATTTATTCTATGTGACTAATAACCTGCTACAACACATATATACTGCAGATATTATTACATTGGGCTCTAAGTCAGTGTAAAC